ACCAGAACTGGGCAGTTTGCAATGTCAGACTTAATTAGACAGGAAGCCACAGACACAGGCACAAATAAGCAGGAGATTATAGCACCCAGGCCATATAAAATGGAAGAACAGGAAAAAGCCAGTTGGGTAGCTGGGAAAAGAGCAAGCTGACACGTCTACACCCCTGGAGAGAGCCGCTTTCTAATTCACATACCTTTTTATAGTCACCCATTTAGCTGAAACAGAAACTAATGCAGAGAGACAGAGGAGACAGTGCCTATGTAGGCTGGGGAGAAGCTGGTAACAGGTGTCCTGCAAAGCTAAACTGCTCCATTTTGGGGAATATAGTTATTAGGTGTCCTGAGCACCTTAACTGTTCATCTGCACCAGCTTTCACCTTTACATGCCTGCTGGTGGGTTGGACATTCTAGGGGCTCAGTGCTCACACACCAGCACTAATATCAAATGACTATACTAGCGTGTTGACCCTTTGAAGTATTCCTAAGCGTTCCTTTCCATTGATACCATAATTATTTCCTGATGGCCAGATTCACTAGGGATTTCATCAGCGTAAATAAGATAAGTTCTTTTCTCAGGCTGCTATTAAAATGCACCAAGACACTTTCTGCTCAGACACACCTCTTGGGCTAATTTAGGAAAAAACACAGTTTATAATTTGAACCTTTTACCTCTTCTTGTTTATTTAGAGAATAAATTTTCTCTATGATCAACATGGTAGCCCACCCTAAAGTTCCAATTTCTTCAGTCTTCACTAACATTCAAATTGCTTGTTGATTTCCTTCTTGTTTCTGCTGGGCCAGGGGAGGAGCAGTCGTATAGATCTTCCAATGATGCTTCTATAAGAGCTAATGAATGGAGAAAATCCCAGAAAGTTCCCAAGCAGCACATTTGGCACTAGCCAAGAGAGACTTGGAGCAGAACACAAGCTGATGGCTTTTGATGTGCTGCCTGAGCTGAATGGCTATAGCAAAGCTTAATTGTTACACCTAGCCCAAACATTTCAGGGTTGTGTTAGGTACAGTCTGTCCCTCCAAAGCACGGTATGGTTAGGCTCTGCAACTTCCACTGGTGTTTCCTATTACCACCTCTGGGCTAAAAAGTAGATACATCTGCCTGGTGCCCAGATAGCCTGTTGGAAAGGCTTTGCTGTTCCCACATCCCCTACTTTCTGGCTCCATATAAGTTCATGGGGGAAATTGTTGCAAGGCACTGGTTTTAGGGAAACGTTCAGTAATTAAGGCAAACGGGCAGAAACTCGGAAGCTGGCATTCCTAAATCACTTTGACTACTGTGTGTTGTATCAAATAGAACTCCTAAAACACCCATCAGAAGGCCTGAGGCCACGTCCAGCAGCGTCAACGCATCCCTAAAAGTACTCACAGAAACTGTTCATAGGGATGGGCATGAAGCGCCAAAAAGCAGCAAGGCTGTGAGAGGGTGTTCTCGCTCCTAGGTGCTCATCAGCTGTCTCCCAGTATAGCAAGCCTGAGGGCACAGAGCCAGGAATGACTAGGAAGCTGGTGAGGCTGTGCATGACAACCCCTCTGACTTTCCAGACGTCTGTCCCTTTGCATTTCCAGCACCGCAGAGAAAGTTGTGCATACGAGTTTACACATCTGAACCAACAGAAAGCCTCTGGTTTGTTAGCATCTGCCTCTGCTTTCCTTTCTGCCCCAGCTTTCCCTGACAGCACAAGTCGTATAACCATGTGTGACAACCAAAGTTTATCCTCTCCTCTGCAGGCACTGGCATGGGCTCTCTTCACTGTGGCTGCTTACGGGTACTGGACTTTCCCCCCCCCTACTCTATCCCTCCTCTCTACTCAGCTCCGGATTCCAGCAGATCATCCACTTTCTTTATAAGGACACAAAACTTCTTAGGCCGTGGTACATGCTAAGTCCTATGCAATTTTCCCAGCTAAGGAGATCTGGGAAATAGTTCTTGCAATAAGTATATTAGCAGATGCATAGGTAGATGCGGGGTATCCTCATCTCATTGGCTAACTTTCTTTCCATCTGAGCAGTCTGCAGATTTTAAGAGAAGCCCAAGAGGACAGAATGCCCAACTGCCACTGAAATATTCTATAGCAAGTGTTTAATACCCTTCCATTTTGGAAATCTCAACTTCAGTTTGTGTGAAAGCACTTTGGGACATATTACCCCTGCCTAAGTTCTTGCTGTGTATTTTTGATCAATTAAACAAATGCTTATTAGATTTTGCATATAAAAGTAGATCACAGGGAACACAAGCCATAATTTTTGCAAAGATTTACTTCCTTGTAGGAACTGAGACCATGAAATTCATTCCACTTGCAACTTAGAATCAGAAAACGGCTCCCAAGAAATGCTACCAGACTTGCTCATTCATCATAGCATGAACACGTACTCAAATGGGCTCTTGATCTGAATTTACAGTAAAGCTGAACACCAATTTCTGTGCTTTCACCTTTTTTTTTTTTTTTTTAATGAATTCCAGGGGAGTTTCAGTTTTTAATCGTCTTTTTGCACTTAAAGCTTATGAGATTTGTATTGCCTCTTCCTATACCTCTCCCTCATTTTTCCAGTTTCTTATCTGCCTACAGTTAATGAGAAGAAATCAGTGTATTGCACTATCTGGCATCTCACCGCTGAAGTGGCAGGAGACTTCAGTTACCAAGTCATTTACTGCTTAATTGAAATCTTTTCTTTAGACTCATTGCCATGTAGACACGCTACTGGAATGCAGTATTACAGCCCAGTATTGATCGTCTTCCCATTCCCAGCCTTCCTCCTCTGAGTTTGCAAGTTAATTGCACTGTGTTGTTTTCCTTTTTTAAAAAAAAATCACCCACTCCACAATTCCAGTCACCTGTGAAATGCACTGGTTTAGCTTTGTAAAATTTCCTAGAGCAGAAACGAGGACAAGTCAAGATACAGGATTTGGCAACAGTAAAGGCCCAGTCCACGCTTTGTCAGATCATCTTTGGGCATCAACTAGCTCAGATAAAGTTCAGCCTGTGAGTGGATTGCAAAGACAGAAAGGGTAAATTAAATCCTAGTTTTAGATCATCGTACTAGAAGTGATCTAGAATTTATCTCACACCTTTATTGCAGAAATTAAACAGTTTTTAACAATGAAAAAGCTAGCAATCAGACATCCTTAATGCAGATGTAACTTGCAGAAAAAGACAGATTGCATTTGTGAGGTTGCAGGATTGGAAACCTAGGCTTTGCACATCAGTCATCTGCTAACAGAGATGTGAGTCAATACTACGTGCATGTCCCCACTGACTGCTGATTTTGAAGTTATGGTACCCATTAGAAGTGGGCTTTTAAGTCCTTTTGAACCCCATCTGTTTCTAAAGTCCTTAGGAATTTGGTTGTTCAAAATGCCCTCATCAAGGCCTTGTCTAGACAACGTTTGCCCCACTGGAGTCTCAGCTTGGACTAATACTGCATGAACAACAGACCTTTGAGCGCTGGAGCACATAAATGCCATATATGTTAACTAACCCTAAATTCCTCCTGATAGATTTTGTGTCAGTACTTAACACTACACTTTTGAGAGACAGTGGGTCTGACTTCTACAGTGTCTCTTGAGCCAATGACAAAATGAGAAGTTTCCCAAGATGAGGTCTTCATGCCATAGGGGGACTCTGTAGCATCATTTGTGAGGGCATACGTAGCTAAATACCTCGCATCTACTGTAAAGATGCTTAGGCATCTCAGCTGCTTAGCTCCATGGCACATGGACAACAGCAGTATAGTGGTTTTTTTTGAGACCAGTGGCTCCTCCCAGTTCCCACATAGCCCTTGTGCTCATAAATCAGAAGCTTTGTGAAGAAATGAACCTCATCTCTTCCTGAACAGCTTTATTTATTTTACTATATTTGCACTGCAATATTGTCTTTAGGCTTCAGCCAACACCAGGCATCCGAACGCACAGGCAGAGACAGCTCTTACCCGAATGATCTTGCAAGTTACCTATAGCTTTTTGCTAATTTAGGGTATTTTACACCAGTTTCAGCGTGAGAACAGATCTGTGTTTAAGTAGAAGCCGTACAACATATGGCAGGAACTGTGTAATAACTTCTTCTGTCTTAGAAATTGACCTTTCCTGCAAAATTGAGAATGAGCACTTGGTGCCAGGGATCACTTGCCCTGGTGCAGATGGCAACCACAGAGACTTACTAAGCCACAGTCATCACCCTCCAGAGATCGTGGACTCCCATTGAGTCAGAAGACACTTTGTCAGGCTTAGGCTTCTGCAAGGGAGAGTTTCCATCTTGTACAGATAAATCAGTAATTTCACTCTTTCTGCCCCAGGGAGAATACATGTCCCCAACAGAATTTATTTCCTTTCATTGCCCATCCCTTCACAAGCATCATTTCAGGATTACACTCCAGATACCTTCTTTCCAGTCCAGAGACCACATTGCTGTATTGAACTCAAAACGCTGCACCATTAGGAAATGCTGCACTGACCGGTAGCAGGAAACAAACATATGTCTACTCCCCTGTAGTCCCAAGGGCTCTGCAAGAGCTACGCAATCACGTTATGCCCATTTAAGCCTCAAATTCCAGACTGATCTGTTCCTATCCACCTTTTGGAAAATTAAATTGTCAGAGTACAGGATATGCTCCCTGCTATTTGCCATGTAATTAAGCAGTAATTTCTGCCCAAGGCTAATCTCTGAGTGTATTTTTCCTCTGAAGCTCAGTGCCAGAGTTCACATTTGTGATTTAGTGGCATGCCAGGGAGCTATACCTAAATTCACAAAAGGATTTTCTGCACTCATCATCTCTCTTCTACTTCGGTGGCAGCTGGGATTCTATATTCAGAGATGTTTGGACTGGGCAAACAAATTAGCAGAAACCAACCTCATTAGGAATCCACATGGGTACCCACACTGCCTCATAGTGGGAATGAGATGCTGACTGCTCCTTTTTTGGAGTCCAAGCTCTTCCCAGCATGGGAAGTGCATTAAAGCCTTCTTTTGTTTGTTTTTCCTACTCACACAGCTTGGCAGCCTCCAAAGAAGCTGAAGCAGCAGCACGATCTGCCCCCAAGCCCATGTCTCCTTCTGATTTCCTGGATAAGTTGATGGGGCGAACTTCAGGATATGATGCCAGGATCAGGCCCAATTTTAAAGGTATGCAAAAAATGATTTTGTGTTTTTGTGGCTTTATTTCGGGACAGAGACTGCATGCAATCTTAATGCATTCCTTCCCTAGCTGTACATGAAGTATGAAAAATATCTACATGAAATATGTGCCAAGTCTCTCATGAGCATGCATGAGTGCCTTACAGAGGTGATGCTATTGTGAAGTCTGGGTTGACTGTTACTTTAATGTCCATGCACATATACAGATCCTCAAACAAAGGACCCAGCCTTTGGGCTTTCACCATTTCCGTTCCTGCTGTTCTACATACAGAAGAACTGGCTATGTCAGATATGCTGGATGTCAACGGCTTTTTAGCAGAGCAGCCTGGAGAAACAACCACTAATAGGATGGGGCTTCCCTCTGTTTAGGAGGGAAGTCTGTGATCAACCTAGATTAAGGCTTGAGATCAGCTCTACTGTTACATGGTGGAGAGAGGCTTGGCTCTAACCCAGCTACATGGATGAAAATAACTGAATGTAAACTAAGGCACTGCATACATTTGCAATGTATGATGCGTAAGTAGGAAATAACCACGCTATTCCAAAGTTGTGAAGTAAATTGTTGATCCCAAGTGAGTTTTGATTAGAAGGCTTGTATTTCATTATCAATAGTGTGCAAGTCATGTGCTACAGAAAAGTTACTTTAGGAATTATTTTACAGAGGGTAGTCAATGAACTCAAAGTTCATAAAATGAACTCATATCCCTCCTCTTATCAAGCTGAAGACTCTTTCTTCAAGACAAAGCAGGGTGCTAAATTTTTTGAATAAGCAAACAACCCTCACACTGACAAGGAGAGGAAACCAGTACCAAAGCAAAGCTACCATATCCTCCCTCTGAATGAGATGACCCAATTTCTTTGGCAAGAGTCAGGAAGCGTCTAGCAGGTCTATAGTGATTTTGAATCTCTATTTGAAGTTGCCTGGGAACAAAAGTCCCTATTGGATTAATAGGCAGAGGAAGAGCAAGACAATGAAGTGAAGGTGAAAAACACAGATCTTGATACTTGCACAATGCAAAGTATCAGGTGTCATCATAGAACCACCATGTGACGTCCATGTGCCGTACATGCCCAGAGACAGCACATGCATGCAAACACACCTCAGCCCTTGGAGCAGTCTGAAATAATCAAACTTAGCAACTTGCTTTGCTTCCCTGACAGCTGGAGTCTCACCATGCTGCAGCAACTGATTCACTCGCATCACTTCATTCCACAACGTTTCCAGGAAGCAGCATTACCCAGAGCTTAAATCATTTGCCTGCATCCTGTACGGACCTACTTGCAACCTGCTTGGTTATCGCCTTTTCACTGGCTGGTCAGATTCCTCACCGTCCAAAGGGCCTGAGCCCCAGAGATCTCACTGCATATCCTAGGCAGCTAACGTTTTCCCTCCTGTTCAGCTACATTAACATGCTTTTATCCATAGAGCACCATGTTCCCTATGGAGGCTCAGCACACAGAAAGTCATCTTACCAAATCCCTCTAACAGGATCTCTAAAGATATCCAGTTTCCACTCAAAACAAACAACTGTGTAAGAACTTTTACACCCAACTAAGCATTTACATACCACCACCAATGAGAGGGGTCAAGGGGATCCTGCCAGACCGAGCAGTGACGAGTAGGAAGCTGAACCCCTTGCAAATTAGTGGCTAACACTCCCTCCTTACACTCACTGAAGCCAAGAGGAGTCTCTCCCATCAGCTGCAGAGGAACCAGGGCAGATGCCAGGGCAGCTGTTTTCCATCACTATCCCCATATTACAGTCTCTTAGGCTAACGCTAAACACTGCTATATCAGAACAGCAGCATTTCACATACGCTTTCCCCAGTTCATCCTGCAGTCACTGGCAGCCATGCAGTGGTGAACCAGGCCTCAAGAGAGGAAAATAGGACAGTCCTTTGTGCTATAAGAAAACTCTTTTAACAAGGGCTTTTAAAAAAAAAAAAAAAAAAACACACACACACACACACACAACCTTCTGAGCTCCCCTTCTGAGAGTGATTTGCCCTTGACTGGCACCCAGAGATAAACTGGGACCTGTCACCCTCTCAGTTACTGTCCAGCCCTCTTAGATGCTAGTTTCATTTGCTTCTTTTATTTCCTACCACTAGTTCCCTCTTCCTCCAAGAGCCACAGGGCTACGGTAACATAGGACTCCCAGGACTCTTTAATCATGGTGATGCTTCTTGAAGCTGAATGGCAAGCTGGGGTTTTATATCCAAAAATGGTTGGGAAGCTTATCTCCTAGTAATCAGTTGGATAACAAACTCTGCTATTTCATCCAAATCACAAAAGGGTTAAAAAAGTGCCCTGTAGACCTTCCCACCACTAAGCTATACACACATACACAAAAGAAATTAAA